TCTAAATATTATTTAAGATTTTCGGACAAGCCAAATTTAACACTTTTTTTAACTCTAATGTATTAAATTATTATACATTTTGACTTGATACATTTACATATACAAAATAATTAAATGGTAAAACTAAATTTCTCAAAAAAATATTATTAATAAAAATGATAGTATTGACCAATAAAAATTAACAACAAAATAATCAACAACAATGTCTATAATAAAAATCAAACAACTACATATTTCACATTATTAAAGACTAAAATTAAAAACAAAACTACATAAATATTTTACCCGCGTGTACGCGGGAGAATCATCTAGTACAAGTGTAAATGGCAATGCAATGCAAAAAAAAAGGAAAGAAAAAAAACGATTTTTTTTAATCCAAATATAGTATAGATTATTTCCATACTAATTTGGTATTTCCATATCATATCGTAAATGGCAATGCAATGCATATGAAAAACGCTAGAAGTCTCATAAAAAAAAAAATACTTTTACGATTCAATTCATAGCAATATAAAGCAACTTTTTCTTCTTCTAAAAATGTAAATATTTCATTGAAAATAAAAACAATTTAGATTTACAAAAAGAATTATAAACCTATAAAAATGATTCCATGACAAAAAAAAAAAAAAACATGGAAATATAGTTTATTAAGGTTTCCAGTACATAAACACGATATAAAGCAATTAGATTATCCTAATCTATACTATATTAGTATGGAAATAAATGTATAACCTCACATGCAAAGTCTAATATATACCTTCAAAACCGAGGAAAACTTAACTTACCTTGATCCAAATGATATTAATTTTTTTTTTCTTTTTTGCCAAGGAAACAAACAAATTGGTTGTGTTATTTGTAACAACTAAACATTTCATATTAATGACATTAACATTCATAGAAGAAAAAAAAGGATTCACATTCAAAGAAAAAAAAAAGGATGATACAACACATTATATAGTAGTCAAATCTAAGAGCATTTTCATTAGAAGGTTCTTATAGAGTCTCTTTAATATAACAAAACATAAAATATTGGCATGTTATTTGTTGGTTTTTCAATGTAAGAAAGCACCATAAAAATATTTCAACTGAAAAAATTTAAACCCATTATGTTGCAATAATATGTCATATTTTACTATATTTACGACAATGAAAACTTTATAATGAAGGTGCTCTAATAGACTTAAGCCATTAGCCACCGCAAACATACAAAAACGAAAANAAAAAAAAAGACATTTAGCCGCAACAGAAAATGACATCAATGCGTATATATTCCCATATTTAGATATGTTTAAATGTTATAAAAAAATAATACATTTAGGGGTTGATTGGTTCACCCGGTACCACCCGCAAACGCTGGGTGGTAGCGGTTGTTGGCGTTGACACAAATCATGAGAAACGCTTTATACCGCTCCGTATCGCTCTAAACCTCTCAAATCCAAAAGCGGCTTCATTCGAGCGTTTGCGGTTGGATAATTAAAAAAAATAAAAATTGATTTTTTATCAAAAAAGAAAAAATTTACTTAAAAATCAAAATAAATATAAAAATTAAAAATTGATATTTTAGTAACTATAATTATGAAATATATCAATAACTTGAAAATTTTTAATTAATATTCAATAACCTATAATAATTTTATATTTATAAAATCTTCAAATCATAGTTTTTTTCGTAAATTATTCTTGATCACTGATTAATAAATCTAGTAAACTAAAATTTTCAAAATCATATTAACCTCTCTAAAATAAAAAATTTCTCCATTAAATCACAATTTTTTTTGTTGTCATAATCATAACTTTCGTCTAAATTAATTTTTTTTTTAAAATGAACATAAGAA